TCAGCTTCCCTTCCTCAGCCCATCCTTCAATGTGGATCTCCAGGGTTGTGCTCACTTTCATTCATTTTTCAACACATATTCATCACCCACATCCTATATGCCAGGTGCTGTACTAGGTACCAGAAATCCCATCCCTCTCACTTTATTACTCTGCATACTCTCCCTTCTTAATCTCAATTGCAGATTCAAATTTCATTATTTCAATTCCAAATGAATATATCTACCTCTTTCCTAAGCTTTACTTTTATTTTTCTGGCTGCCAATTGGGCAGCCCCACTTAGGTCTCCTGCACTCAGATTTAAAATGTTCCAAACAAACAGCCTATCATCCTTCCTTGTAATTACAGTAAGCGGCGTGATTGTCTTTCATTTTACCATCTCCAGTTTTCCAATTTTACATTCTAAGCAATCCTCAAATCTGTCATCTCACTTGCAGCCTTGGAAATTCAGCTCACCTCCTGAGGAACACCAACACAAGCACCTAACTTGTCTCCAGCGTTGGCTCCACAGGTACTCTCTAGTCAGCCATCCTGCTAAGACAAATTGGACCCTGCCATTCCACATCCTCCCAGGAACAAGCCCAGTGGTCAGCACAGCACACAAGCTCTCCAAGCTTGACCAGTCCCAGCCCATCTCCTGTTCCTGAAACACCATGCAGTGCCCATAGGATTCCTATCCTCTCCACTGCCAGAACTAATTTTCATCCCATTCCCATTCAAGGCTGCATACTGCTGCCCTCTCTTTCAGGAAAATCTCCCTGACCGCTACCACTCCACACAGAAACATTACAAACAGTGGTGGGCACATCTCCTTGGTATTCCAGAACATTCTGTGCGTCTGTCACTGCACTCACTGGGTTGTTTCATCACCATATGCTAATGTGTTTCTCTGTCAGAAGAGCTGTACCAACAGGAACCATGTCTTCTTCACCACTATATCTCTGATGCCTAGGTTACTTTAAGAAATATAATATAAATAAATATTTTAATAAACATAAGACAGGGCAGCCCGGGTGGCTCAGCGGTTTAGCACCGCCTTCAGCCCAGGGTGTGATCCTGGAGATACGGGATCGAATCCCACGTCAGGCTCCCTGTATGGAGCCTGCTTCTCCCTCTGCCTGTGTCTGTGCCTCTTTCTCTCTCTGTGTCTATCATGAAAAAATAAATAAAATCTTTAAAAAAAATAAAATAAACAGACAATTTTAGGGGCACCCGAGTGACTCAGTCAGTTGAGGATTCAGTCTGCCTTTGGGTCAGGCCATGATCCCAGGGTCTTGGGTCAGACCAAGATCCCTGGAGGGAGCCTGCTTCTCCCTCTTCCTCTGCCCCTCCCCCTGCTTGTGCTCGAGCTCTGTCTCTGTCAAATAAATAAAATCTTTTAAAAATTTTTATATAAGACAATTTTAATAAAATTTGGTTAAAAGTTTTCCCCATCTCATTATGAAATATTTTGAACATACTGAAAAGTTGAAATAAGTATACAGTGAACACCATCACCGAACTTTTACAATTAACATTTTGCTGTTTGCTTTATCGCCCAGCTGTCTATCTATGTTTGCATCTCTTGATCCATGCTCTTTTTTTTGATGCACTCAAAGAGTGCATCAGCCCACTACATCCCTAAATACTTCAGCATTGATATATGAGTGATGTTTCGAACTATACTCAACAGCTTTGGTGTTGAAAGGACTGTCCCTCCCCACCATAGAAGGAATGAGCAATATGGCCCATTGAGACTCGTCAAGATTCTTTTCAAAGACTCAGGAAAACACATGGCCAAGATGTAAGCAAATCATGTCACAGCACACACAAGTGTGTTCTGCTTTTCCTTAACCGACTTGGTGTCAATATAAGTATAGATGCTTTGATTTTAGTTGTTCAGTTGGGCTTAAAGGAGGGTAGGCTGAATCTTTCCTAGTTCACCTCATAATCAGCATCGGCATTTGTAGTATAATTGTCCAGCATAGAGAGAGCAATCCAAGTGACCACAGAACAGAGAAAAATCTTAAACTAGTCCCAGACTCTGACATGTCCGTCCACAGCTACCTTTGTACCCAGTTACAGGGGAGAAGCCCTGTGGGCTCTTGCTGCCCTGAGGACCCTAGCTGGGAGATACAAGTGCCTTTATGTGTAAAGAAAGGGGGGAAGCATCATATCCTCTGAGACAGATCTGAGTGAACAGAGTGGGCTTGATTTCAGTTTCAACTGCCCCCACCTTAGCTTGTTTCCCTGTGGGGTCTGCACAGCATACAGCTATATTTGGCACCCCTGACTGAGCTATAAACAGACAAGCTGTACACATGCTCGTCTACAATAAAATAAATTGCTAAGGTTAATCTAAAACCACTGAAAGTTCCACAGAAAAGAGGGACAGTTATTCTTTATGAACAAGTTACATCTAATCACTCCTTTCTTGCCTGTGTTCTATATATACTTTTTGTGTGTCTACTGGGTGCCAAGGAGACAGTGATGAGCAGAAAACAAAAGCTTAATCCGCCGGAGGAGAACATCATTAGTGAAACTGCTACACAATGAGAATTCAATTATAAACTGAGGTAAACACTCCTGAAGAAGATATGCTCTCCAAGCATCTATGATGCAGAAACCTGATCTAGAGTAGCAGTCTTAAGGAAGCAACAACCTGAAGTCAGAGGAACAAGAAAACATTAGTGGATCAAACAGCTAGATGTGGTAAGGGGAGGTGACTACAGGCAGCAGGAACAGCCCCTGCAGAGACCCTGTGCCTGGAAGGAGCATGTCCTAGGCAGACTGAGGAATGAAACCAGAATAACTGAAGCACACATCACAGGAAGAAAAATACTATGAGAGTAGGTGAGGGACCAGATCATGAAGCCACTTGGGTCTTCCTAAGACCAATGAAAAGCCAATTGAGTGTTTTCACTGGGTGGGTTGATAGAATTAGATTTGCATCTGGAAAATATAGCTGGCTATATCAGGAAGGAAAGAGTAGAGATGAGAGAAGGGTAGATGTAAAGCAAGAGTTAGGAGCTTGTTAGAGTGACCCAACAAGGAACATGTTGGAAGATGATGGTAATCTGGAGCTGAGATTATAGTAGGAGCTCTGAAGATGGAGAGAAGTGGACAGCTATGAGAGATAATTAGGAGGTGACGTGAACAAGGCATGATGATAGTTCGGACACTGCTGTGAGTGAAGTGTCAGGAAGGATGGCATTGAACAACTCAACACCAAGTAATCTGAAGATGGGCAGAGGACCTAAACAGACATTTCTCAAAAAAAGACACCCCAATGGCCAACAGACACATGAAAAGATGCTCAGCTTCACTCATCATCAGGGAAATGCAAATCAAAACACAATGAGATTGCATCACACCTGTCAGAATGGCTTGAATCAAAAATACAAGGTATAACTAGTGTTTGGTGAGGACATGGAGAAACGGGGGACCTCATGCACTGTTGGTGGGAATGCAAACTGGAGCAGCCACTCTGGAAAACAGTATGGGGGGGGTCCTCAAAAAATAAAAAATAGAAATGTGATCCAGTAATTCTACTACTGGGTATTTAACCAAAGAAAACAAAAACACAAATTTAAAAAGATACATGCACTTCAATGTTTATTGCAACATTATTTACAACAGCCAAGATATGGAAGAAGCCCAAGTGTTCTTTGACTGATGATGAATGGATAAAGAAGAATGTGGTGTATATATACAATGCAATATTAGTCAGCCATAAAAAAGAATAAGATCTTGCCATCTGCGGAAAGGATGGACTTAAAGGATGTGCTAAGGAAAATAAGACAGAGAAAGACAAATACTATATGATTTAACTTATACATGAATCTAAAAAGCAAAACAAATGAACAAACACACCTGTAAATACAGAGAACAAACTGATGGCTGCCAGAGGGGAAGAGGGAATGAGCAAAGTTGGCAAAGGAGTTCAGTAATGGAATGAATAAATCACAGGAATAAAAGGCACAGCACAGGGAATATAGTCAGGTATTGTAATAGTGTCTTAAGGTGATGGGTGGCAGCTACGTTTATGGTGAGCACAGTACCACATATAGAGATGTTGAATCATTATTGTATCCCTGAAATTAACATAACACTGTGTGTCATCAAATAGAATAAATAACCTCAAAAAAGAGGGAGACAGACAGTGGAAACCCTGGAGAGAGAATTATGGATCACAGATTTGATCTTAACCATGTTGGATATAACTGTTAAGACTTCTAGGTGTCAGGACACCTGGGTGGCTCAGCGGTTTAGCGCCTGCCTTTGGCCCAGGGTGTGATCCTGGAGTCCCAGGATCAAGTCCCATGTTGAGCTCCCTTCATGGGAGGTTAAAAAAAAAAAAAGACTTCTGGGTGTCTGAATCTGAAAACTCGGGGTAGAAATATAAATTTAAAGTTACCATAATGTAGGTGATAATAAAGTTATGAACACTGATGAGAGAGTAAAGAACCAAACACAAAGATTCTAGTACAAAAAAAAGGCACTACAGGAAGGTTGCTTCTTGGAGTCATATCTACCCTGTGATTCTATATTTTAATAGAATAATAAATCTATTTTTTAAGATTTTATTTATTTATTCATGAGAGACACACACACACACAGAGAGAGAGAGAGAGAGAGAGAGAGAGAGAGAGAGAGGCAGAGACAGGCAGAGGGAGAAGCAGGCTCCATGCAGGGAGACCGACATGGGACTCGATCCCGAGTCTCCAGGATCATGCCCTGGGCTGAAGTTGGCACTAAACCACTGAGCTGCCTGGGCTGCACTACAATAATAAATTTAAAATACAAATCATTTTGTAGGCAACCACCTTCCTCGGTTTATTAGGACAATAAGATAACAATAAGATAAATTTGTGAATTCTATAGTTGGTGTTGGTGGGGGTTTTTATAAAAAAAAATTATATTTATATTTAGCCAACTGGACTCAGTTTAAATGATCCTAATTTTTTTGGCATCCAAAGCATCATAGTCAGTCAAATACAGGCCTTCTCTCTATCAGGCCTGATCAAGCTGTTGACCTTGGCCAATCAATATCGTAGAGTTTCTTCACAGTCTGTTTGATCTGGTGCTTATTGGCCTTGACATCCGCAATGAGCACAAGTGTGATATCTTCTATCTTCTTCATGGCTGACTCAGTAGTCTGGAGGCTCTTGATGGCATAGTGGTCAAGCTTGATTCTCCTAAGGATGCTCTTTCCAGGGTATTCGGGCTGGCTTCGGAGACACAGGGTCTTAGATCGTTGGAATGTAGGTGATGTGCAGATCTTCTTAGTGTGACTTTGGATGCCTTTCAGCACCTCTTTCTTGGTTTTCAAAGCCTTTGCTTTGGCTTCAGCTCTGGGAGAGGCAGGAGCTTCCTTCTTCGACTTTCGCGCCATCTTCATGAAAGGGTGGTGCTGGTGTTATTATGTAATTGGCAAAACATTAGATACCCTGCCAATAGAAAGTAATTTTATCATAATCAATTCTAGAAATCATTTCTTCAGAAGAAAATTTTCACATATGTTAATTCAGATTATCTACATGAACTATTGTAACACTACAGGGAGGGTTGACAGAGTCAAGCTTGGTGTGGTGTATGACCAGTGTAATTTAGCTTACAATGGTATGGTAATCGATGGGATAGCAACTTGTGGAATAATGGTGTAGTCCAGGAACAACAGGAGGAGCATCTTACCCAGGCAAACATTGGAACGAGCTGGCCGGGGAAGTGATGTCTATACTGAAAATGTACCCAGGTGAAGAGAGAGATAGAAAAGTGTTCCAGGTAGAAGAAATGGCCTGTCCCAAAGCCTGAAAGGAAAAGAGAGCAAGATGTTTACAGAAAATAAAAGAAGGCCAATTTGGTTACCAGTGCAAGGGAGAGAAGGCTGGAAAACCAATCAGGGATTATTATGTCCAGTTACAAAGAGTAGATTTATTCCAAGGGCAATGGGCAAAGGGTTTTAAAGCAAGGGGATGATCTAAACAAGTGTATGTTTTGGAAAGGTTACTCCAGTTTCAGTTTTTATCACCTGTTTGTTCCACACAGTTTTATAATCTACATAAATCCAGTTTGTCATGTGGAAACAAATGAAGATCACCCAAGGGAGAACACAACAGCTGCCATTTATTCAGATCCTGCACCAACAAGTGAGTCAGCCACCACCACTTGTGTTTGGTGGAAACTCAGGAGTAAGCAGAGGAGGACACTCTGACTGGAGGCGGTTGGCTCAGGGCAGTTGGAGGTGGCTAAGCGGAGTTGTGACAGCTCATGCTTGGGGGTACACAGTGTGGGGAGTCACTTTTTTCTGCTGGCTCTAATTTGGAAGAGGAGAAAATAGGAGAAGCCAGCAGTCATTGACCAAGTCCTGCTCATTCTGGGCAGATGGCTACAGAGACTGTTGTAAATGTCCACTTAGTCTCCCAATGCCCCCTCCTCGCTGGTCTTTCTGACCCCTGTGAGAGGCTGACCACTTCATGGGCAGCTGGTGACCTTCACAACTCAGGGACTCTCCTTGGCTCCAGTCAGTCATATCATGACATCTGTTCTTTCTGTTGCTGTGTCATCATGGCAGCCGGCTGACCTGAGAAAGTAGCTGCCCACAAGAATTCAAGACCAGACAGGATGTGACAGAGCAATGTCATGTCATGACCACTGGGACAATGACAAGAACCATTCATAGTCTTGGGGGTGGGGCAGAAGAGAGTGACAGAGAGAATCTGAAGTAGGCTTCACACCCAGGACAGAGTCTGACACAGGGCTCAGTCCCACGACTCTGAGATCATGACCTGAGCTGAAATCAAGAGTCAGATGCCTAACTGACTGAACCCCCAGGTGCCCCCAGTTCATAGTCTTATAGGGTGCTTTGGAATTATAAACTTCATTTGCCCAACCCAAACAAGAGAAAAAAACCCATAGACCATGAGGATTCGTGTTCAAGAGACAGATGGCTTTTCCTTACAGCATTGTGTGGTCTGATCCGCTTTGCCTGTTTCATTGATCCACGCACAGCAAGAAGCATCAGCAGTGGCACAGACCCTGCCCTGACCAGCCAGAAAGGACTCTAGAGCAAGCTCCATCACCCATCACCATGTATGCCAGTCTACTGTAGACTGTTTAGTCACAGTTTCTCTAGGGGAAAGAGTAGCTCTCCTTCTCTTTGTAGAGTTTCCACCTTTGGGAGCATTGCTGTGGTTGTTGGCATCACAGTGAATCAGAAAGCCATCCAGGAAAAGTGCCTGAATGATTAAGGTAGCCTCATTTTGGAGCTCATGTCTAAGTTAGGGTTAACAGACTTGTGGTGTCTACCTTATCTATACAGACCAGCTTCAGAGTACTTCTCCTAGTGAATGAGGTATTAGTCTGAGGCAAGTAGCACCAACTGTCCTGCCCCCAGAAAGGTAGTATCCATATCCAGCCAGGGCACATGGAGATCCAGGAACAAGGGGCTTGCCTGTGACAAAGATGGAGACCAGGGCAGCCCCTGTGGCGCAGGGGTTTAGTGCCGCCTGCAGCCTGAGGTGTGATCCTGGAGACCCGGGATGGAGTCCCGCGTTGGGCTCCCTGCATGGAGCCTGCTTCTCCCTCTGCCTGTGTCTCTGTGTGTGTCTCTCTCTGTGTGTGTCTTTATGAATAAATAAATAAAATATTTAAAAAAAAAAAGATGTAGACCAAAGCCTTACCTTAGATCTCTGTTGCTCTCTTGCCGGTGGCAGGTATTTTGCCCATTGCTCTATGAAAGTTGTTGAATTAAAATTCAGAATTATCTAGAGTCTGATCAATAGATGTTTTTATCAATAGATTTAAATAACTGATTCTTTATCTTGGAGAAAGGGACATGGCAAAGTCATAGGTTAGGAAGACTTATGATGAGGAACTGACCCTCGCAATTAAGGAGGCTGAGAAGTCCCATGATCTGTTGTGTGAGCTGAAGACCCAGAAAGCCAGTGGTGCAATGCCAGTCCACAGCCTGTTGGTAACGCAAGCAGGCAGGAATAAAAGGAGCTAATTCCTCCTTCCTTTTGTTCTGTTCATTCCCTCAGTAGCTTGGATGATGCCCACCCATATGGGGAGGGCAATCTGCTTTACAGAGTACACCAATTCAAATGCTAATCTTATCTGGAAATACACTCACAGACACACAGAAATAATGCTTAAACTGGGTACCCCATCATCTTCACACATAAAATTAACCAACACAATGGAACATGGCCTGGAACCAAAGCTTCAAGGGCCTTTTAAATAACCTCAATGGATTTTATCTGGCTTCCACTCTCCATGGGATTTGAATACGTTTTAGTTATTGTATGCACATTTTCAGGATGGGTTGAAGTATTTCCTTGCCAAAAAGCTATAGCCCTTTACAGTTGCTAAAAACTCTGATTTTGTTTTCAGCCAGGTGCATCCCAACTTTTATATCAAGTGATCTAGGTACACAGTATAGGAACCATTATGAAAGAATTCTGTGAAGAGTTATTACTTGCTTAAAAACTATACCACCTTTGCAATCCACAATATTCTGGAAAGGCTGAAAGAGCCAAAGACATCCTTAAATTAAAACTAGCAAAATTTCCAGAAACCTTGAGTTCCTTTGGCTAAAAGTACCCCACTACCCTTACAGCCACATGGTTTACTCCCTCAAGGACACATCACTTACCCATGACCTGGCAATGGGGAAAGCCTATGCATTTAGGGACTTCAATTCTGCTGTTAAATCCTGCCCTGCTGTACACAGACATGGGGAAATACCACAAGGGACTCATGTGCTGCCCTCTCCATCACCAGCAGGTGAAGGATGCCTTCCCACAACATCATTCTAACAGCCTCTTCATGACCTTCAAGACAGAGGTTTTGTCTGTTGGAAGACACATATGAGAAAACTGCTCTTGAACTTTGTTGGAAGACCCCTCACTATCTATCACTAACAAAAAATCCAGCAATAAAACTCAAGAGAGTCAGATTTCACAACTTGGATGATTCACAGCTAAAGAAACAATTCAGAATTCCATCCAGCTGGAAGACTATTCCAATAAGAGACCATGAACTTCAAGATTCCCTAGAAGCAGCCTATTTTCAGAAGCAGGCAGTGGACCAGAAACCATTAAAGCCAGTTCATGACCCCATAGAGTAGAGCACTTCTACCCAAGTCTGTAGTAAGTGATGGGCTTTGCTGGAAGTTGAGTTAAAACTCCAATGACTTGTCTAGATTGTTCCTCTACAAATGATGATGGGGGGGTTTCATAGCTAGGGATGCCCGGGAAGGAGGCTAGTGAAGATCCCTCCTCAGGTTCCAGATTGCCTGATCATTTTTAAGCTCTAAGAGGAAAGGTCCCTCAGTCCCTCCCTGAGAATTTAGTCAATCCATATAGGAGGTATCACAATCTCCAATTTAAAAAAATGGTCCTATAAAATAAAATAAAATAAAATAAAATAAAATAAAATAAAATAAAATAAAATAAAATAAAATAAAATAAAAAATGGTCCTCATTGTGTGTAAAATCCAGTTAAACCTGGAAATCCTCCCAAATGTCATTTTGTGAGGGGCCTGGGTTAAGTTTGGCTAGTCTTTAGTCTATCAGAAGAGTGTTTTCTCCTCCTAAGATAGTTCATGCCCTAAACAATGGACTATATTTTTGCAAAATTGTGATTTATCTTTTGAGACTTTATGTCTCTTTTCTGCCAAGGCTGAAAGAGAATGGAATCCTTTCCACAGGCTTTGTTCTCTGAGCAAAGTGGAAGATCATCTACATAGAGTGTCAGAATTAAATCACAAGAGCAATTTAGATGCTTTAAGTCTTAATTGAGGAAGCTGGGCACAATAAGAGGGTCAGTGAGTCCCTAGGGCACAACTACTCGGGTAAACTGTGGTGCCTCCCAGGTATAGGTGAAAAGCACTGTGTGTCTTCATGAAAGGACACACGAAAAGGGCAAAGATCCAACACACTGAGCAAGTGGCTTCAGGAGGCACTGACGACAGGATGGTATTTGGGTTAGTAGGAAGGGGAAAGGACAACTTTGTTGATGATATCCTCACCAGTTTGTTCCTTTACTGAAAGAACAGGAGTGTACATGGGTGAGGATGGGGCATCAGAAGCCCATGGACAAGACGCCTTCAGCTAGAGGCTGGATCTCTCCTTTGTTTCTGGCTTCAGGGAATATGGGGGAGGTGCAGATAATGGTTTATAGGATATAGTTAAACTTTTATAGGTTCTGATCCAATTATTTTTCCTATTTCTATAGAATTTTTACAAATTTCAGGTACAGCATCAAAATCTTTATTTAGGGTCTGCACCAAATATCATGGAGAAGGCAGACACACTTGGTGATGAAGACAGGAGTTGTCTGTGATTCGAGGGATGTCTCTGTGGTATGCATTTACGGTCCAGTCAATTTTTA